AAAAGTATGCAAAGAAAAGATCAACCTCAGTAATGAAAGAATGAAGCATCACTTTATACTCATTTGATGGGCTAAAATCTGAAAGCTGGATAATATCAAACATTTGCAAACTTGAAGGAAACGGAACTTCCATACTTTGATGGTGAGAGGAAAGACTTGTGTAACTATTCTCAACAGCAAGCTGTTACTATCTAATGCAATTTTATGTGTACATACATCCATGACCCTGGAAGCCCCTTGTATCCACCCTGATTGGAAAGTTCTACATTGCACACAGCAGTTAGAAGCAGAGCACTATACCAAATGTATAGTGGAAATTTTAAATCAGCAAAAGGGCTATAAATTAAAGTTGAGGAATCTTTTTTTTCCCTCCAGCTTTCTTGAGGTCAACTGACACTTAATATTGTGTAAGTTTAAAGTGTACAAAGTGTCAATTTACATATCACAAAATGATTACCACCGTAAGTATTGACTACCACCTTCACCCATCATATAGCTAGGATTTTTTGTGTGTGAATACATTGAAGATCCACTCTCCTAGCAACATTCAAGTATATGATGCAGTATTATAGCTATAATCACCACACAGTTTATTAGGGTCCCAAATTTGTTAATCTTATAACTGGAAGTTTGTACCTTTTATCCACTATCTCCCCACTTTCTCCACCCTCCAATCACCACTGGTAACTAAACACTCTACTCTGTTTCTCTGAGTTTGACATTTTTAGATTCTACATACGTGATAGCATACAGAACTTGTCTTTCACGGATTTATTTCATTTAGCAGAACGTTCTCAAGATTGATCTAAGTTGTCACAAATGGCGGAATTTCCTTCTTTCTCATAGCTGCATAACATTCCATTGTGTGTGTATCTGTATATATTCCTACACTTGCACCTATCACTTCTTTGTCCACTCATGTGGTAAAGGACACTCAGGTTGCTTCCATATTTTGGCTATTGTGAATAATGCTGCAATGAACATGGGAGTGCAGATATCTCTACAAGATCTTGGTTTTAATTCCTTTGGATATGTACCCAGAAGTAGGATTGCTGGGTCATATGGTATCATAACAGAGTCAGACTCTGGAGGAGAGGGACAAATGGGAGTGGCACTCAGAGGTGAGGAAAACACAATTACAGCAAAATGGAGCTCGTGTTGACTGATTAAGACAGTATGGGGATATAAGGAGTATTATTGCCCTGGTGGAGACAGAAAGGCAAAGGTTAGGACTGAAAGTATAGCTCTTAGAAAGAGAGATAGTAATTCAAAAGGTCAGCCGTATGGAAACAGCTTTGAAGGGGAACTTCTGTATTTTCCCTTCACTTACTAATTTATTGTCTCACTCTAGCCCCAGAGGAACAAGTCAAAGAGGAAATAAGATTCTTTGCAATTGGATTCTTTAAAAGTGGTAATCCGTAATACTTCCTCTCAAGGGAATCAAAGTATAGTGCAGGTTGAAGCTGGTACTTATCTAAATTTAATTTCACTCATAGTAAAGTACCAAGAGACAGTATGATTTATACCTATTGGGTCGGAGGAGGAAAATGTGAGAAAGACTTTTAGTAGTAGTATCCTACGAGGAAACAAGGATGAACAAAAACAGCTTCAGTATTTCCTATCACTTGTAGAATGAAATCATTCACCATCCTGCTCCTACTGACCCTTCCAGACTCAATTTCCATCCCGCCCCTAGTAATGGGAGCTCAGCTTCACCCACAGAGACTGACTCACTATTCTACCAGTAGTCCTTGAGATTTCCTAACCACCTGCCTGGAAAACATCCCTTGCTCATGACTCATTAGTGGCCTGTACAATCTTCACCCATCTCTTGTAATTCTTTCTTATCCTAAGTTAATGTCCCACTTATGAACTATTAAAGCACTTGCGGTCTACACCATCTATTGGCTGATATTTTCTTTAAGCATTTTGAAGATATCAGTCTATTGTCTTCCAGATTCCATTGTTTCTCCTTGGAAGTCAGTTATAAATTTATGGCTTAATACCTTTGATCCATTTTTTTTAATTCTCAACTATTAACTCTTCAAATACTGCTTCTGTCCCACTCATCTTATCCTCTCCTTATAGGATTCTTTTCTGTAACTTCTTTGTCTCTTATCTTTAATTCTGCAGTTTTTGTCTTTTCATCTCTCAATACTATATTCTGGATATTATCTTCTAACCCATCAAAAAGTTATTAATTTTCTCTTCATCTATCTATTCTGCTATTAAACCCTTCCACAGAGTTACTAATATCAATTGTTTTACATACAGTTCTAGAATTTCCCTTTGGCTTCTTTTTAATAGTTTATATTTATCTATCAAAATACTGTCACATTTCACCTCTCAGTGAACGCAGCAAGCACAATTATTTTAAAGTCTGAGTTTTATAACTGCATTCTCTAGATCTCCCATGGGTCTCTGGTTTCTGCTGATTGTCATTTACATTGTTTTTTTCCTTTGCGTGCCTGGTCAGGTTTTTTCGCCCAGGTAAAATCCACACAACATCCAAATAACCATTTAATGGCAATTCTGTGCCACTCAATACCTTCACAATGTTGTGTTAACACTACTTCTATTTAGTTCCTAAATATTTTCATCACCCCAAAAGAAAACCCTATACCTGTTAAGCAGTCACTTCCTATTTTCCCTCCTTCCACTCCTGGAAACTACCAGTTTGCTTTCTACCTCTATTTATGTCTTTATATTAAGTGGGTTTCATGTAGGCAGCACATAGCTGGGTCTTACTAGCTTAGGTACCCTTCCCTGTACTGTCACCTGAGAACTCTCAAATAAGCTGGGACACTCATTTGTTTCCTTGATCTCAGGGATCACTGTCTTTTGTTGCCTGGGGTCCAGTCTCTTCAAAACCGTTGTTTCATATATTTTGTTCATTTTTCTCTCTTTGGTTGTTTTGAGTAGGAGGGAAAATGCAGTCTCTTGCTACTCTACCTTGGCAAGGAGCAGAATTCTGCCTTTTATTTTATTGAAGATTTTATTTATTTATTTGAGAGAGAGAGAGAGTACAGCATGGGGGTGGGGGTGGCGGGGGGAGTGGTAGAAGAAGCAGACTCCCTGCTGAGCAGGAAGCCAGATGCCCCATCTCAATCCCTGAACCCTGGGACCTGAGCCCAAGGCAGATGCTTAAATGACTGAGCCACCCAGGTGCCCTGAATTCTGCCCTTTTAAAAGACAATTTATGTCTTTAGTTTATCAGTTAAACTCATCCTGTTCAATTTAAAATTTGATAAATTCAATTTTAATTTTAGTTTTTTTGAGGTATGATGTCATTTGATCATGTTTTTACCAAGACATTCACCATTCTGAAATCATTTTGTTAACTTACATTGTAACAAAATATGCCCATTTCTCCCAAGTTAACCTCCTTTGCCTATAACCAGCAAGTGCCAGACTCCACACTTTCTTTTTCCCTGGGAGCCGGTGCAAACTGCATGTGTTTATGACTCAGTGTCTCTAGTCATCAGACTAGAGCTCTCTATCCTAAAACTGGGGTCATTCCCCTAGAATATCCATGGAACACTTGGCCTCTAGGCAAGCCTCTTCAGAGCTGTGGGGTGGGGAGGGGATTTGGTTTTGTCTTAAAATCCAACATACCTTTTAGGTGTTGGTAGATTTTTAGAACTAATTTTCAATTACATGAAGAATTTTCTGAGTTATTTTCTCCTCTTTTCTCGTTCTTCAATAATCTATTTATTTTTATTATTTATTTATTTTTGTCAACCACCTGTAGTGCTTCCAAATAATCCAGCTCTGTGCACTGCACTCCCCAGCCCAGTCTGTCTTAGGGTGGAACTTTGGCTGAGAACCACTGGCCCTGGGATATACATGTGATAAGGTGCCATCACAGTCTTATCAGAGGTGTCAAAGCTCGTCATGTCGTCCCTACCTATGACTGACTACATACCGCCTTGGCCTTAACATGTTAGAACCAAGGACTGTTTAAACATAAAGTGGGCTTTTTATCGATGCTCAAACCTCACCCATCATAAAAACACCTTCCCTGCAGTTATTGCCCCATTTCTCCCCGCCCTTTCTCAGCCAGAGTTGTTGAAAGAACTGCCTGCACTTGCCTCTTCCATTTTCTCACACCTAAACTGATTGCAATCTGGCTCTGTACCCCACCCCCAGGTTTCATGAGCATCTCTCACGGCCTCCTGCAATTGCCCTGTAGGTCTTGTCCTGCTTGCATGGGTAGTGTCTAATACTGCAGACTCACACCCTTCTCTTCCCCTGCTTCTCCTTTACTCCTCCACTCTCCTTCTGCCCCTCCCTGTGCTCCCTCCCTGTTTTGCTGAAGCCCCTTCTCTTCTTCCAGGAGAACCCAGAGGCTCATGTGGCTTTGAGGACCTCAACCTTGATGGAAGGATTGGGGTGAAGAATGAAGACTCTGTAGACCAGGAGTGTGTGCCAGGCCTTGGACTAGATCTTCAGCAGATTTCTGGGGAACAGAGTTAAGACAGCTGGAGGACAGTGTGATGCTAATGACATGGCAGCTGCTTTCAGGTGTGGCACCGAAACACTGACAAGTCAGGATCCCTGTGGATCCAGAACAGGGCATTCCCACGGAAAAATTATAACATCTGATATTTCATGCAAGCACAGAGCAGTATATCAACCTAGAATACTGAGTAAGGCTTCATTGTCTCAAAGTGCTAAGAGGAGTATGATTTATATGTTGAAACTCCCCTCCCTGGGGGAAAAGAGCCATTCACATGTGTTGTTCCAGTTTACTTTATACACGATTACGTGGTACAGAGAAATGACAGAGGACACTACCCTTCCATAGCTGCTGTTTCAAACACCGGGACCTATTAAACCTGATTGTGTCTAATTACCAGCCTCAGCCATCCATCAGCCATGAACAGCCACTTGGAGAGCACTAATGAGGCACCTTGCTAGCCCTTGCATCAGAAAAATAATTCTCTACCGCAAACGAAAGAGTGAAGGCAGAAGAGCTGAGGGAAAGCACAGGCCATCCAGCCTCACTCCCACTGCAGCATGTCGGGTCCTAAGGGCCCTTGGAGGTGTCAGTGATGGTGAGAATAGGTAAGGTCCGTTTGTCCTAGATTGAGACTGCACAATGGTCCAGACCCTGGTCAGTTCAGGGTGTGTGCGTGCATGCGTGTGTGGGGGGGGTGAAAGGTATAAAGCTTAATAACTGAATATTATACCATAGCATTCCAGTCACTGCAACCATCCAGATCAATTTCCCATCTATTTGTCTTCCCTTGAAGTGGAGCTCCCTAAAAGTTCATGCCCAGAAGACTTTATCACATGTGACTCTACTTCTGGCTGATTTCTGTTTCTTTCTTTCTTTTTTTTTCTTTTAAGATTTTATTTACTTATTTGACAGAGGCACAGAAAGATAGAGGGGACAGAAGCAGGGGGAGTGGGAGAGGGAGCTCGATCCCAGGAGGCTGGGAACATGACCTGAGCCAAAGGCAGAGGCTTAAGGACTGAGCCACCCAGGTGCCCCAACTTCTGGCTGATTTCTACTCACCTCCTTATGCAGCAACTTCAGCACCTGACTGGCTGAACCAGTCCTCTCCACCAGTCCTCTCTCTGCTGTCAGTTCCATGCCATGGATGAGCCACCGCACTCTGGCTTCTCAGTCCTTCCCATCCTTCCCATCCTCTCCCTCTCCCTCCATAATATCTCAGCTACCGTGACGCCCACATCCTAAGGGATGCCCAGATCCCTGTTCTCACAAGTGAATGTACCACATTCAGAAGGCTGCTTCAAAGACTGCTGTTCTGACACCACCATTTCCTGTGCTTCCCACTCTATGGAATCCCAGTTCCAATACTTGGACCCATAGGGCCTGGTGTCCAGGGCCAATGTTTCATTTTCTCTCTCATCTAGCTTAGACAACCTGTGATCCAGCACATCAGCCCTTGTCTTCTGATATCCTTAACTACCCTGCAGCTCTCTTCTACCCCGGCACCAGTTAACCGGAACCATTCAGCCATCAGACCTGAATAGCAGGTACCAGAGACAGGGATGCCATAGCCAGGAAGGTTCTTTCACAAATCTCAAATGACCACTAGTCCTGCCAGCCAGGTTCCCCCCACACCTTAGACAAATCCACAATCCCTTACTCTGAACAGTCTATTTCCCACCTTCCCCTTTCTGTATATTCCCCTATCCCATCTCAAGCTTTGCTGAGACCCACTGTTTCTGGGGGGAAATGAAAGCCCTCTGCTCCTAGGAGTAGGGCCATAACACTCTTGGGCTGGATCCTGCACCAGAATAAAGGCCAAGGCCACTACCACTCCTTATGGCCACTCCACGGACTCCTAACTAACTCTGGCACAGAACACCAGGCTGGCCTTTCTGTGGAGCAAACAAGCTTCATGGAGGTGGGGATCGGAGAGCATCACTCTTTTCCCCTATGACGGGGCTAGTTCTGTGCAGAAATACGGGCAGCAACTAAGATTTTTTGGTTCCTTATGAGTAACAAAGGTCCTCTAGTCACTGTAAATCCAGTAATTCAAGTGTGGTGTCCATAATAATAATAATAATAATTAACTTTTTAAAATTAGTATCAGAGGTAGAATTCAGTGATTTATCAGTTGCATATAACACCAAGTGCTCATTACATTAAGTGCCCTCCTTAATGCCCATCACCCAATTACCCCATTCTCCAGCAACCCTATTTGTTTCCAAGACTTAAGAGTCTCTTATGATTTGCCTCCCTCTCTGTTTTCATCTTATTTTATTTTTCTTTCCCTTCACCTATATTCATGTTTTGTTTCTTAAATCCCACATATGAGTGAAATCATATATTTGTCTTTGACTTATTTCACTTAGTATAATACCCTCAAGTTCTATCCACATGGTTGCTAATAATAGTAACAATTAACTTTAAACTTCATGTTTGGGCTGGGTTTTTCCTCCTCTGCCATGACACTGGCAGGGGGGGGAAGTCCTAATATATTTCTCTTTTCTCTCCAACCTGTTTCATGATTTTCACTCCACCCTTTGCCATGGTTTCTGACCCCACCCAGGGTAGAGGTGAAAGTGGGGCAGGACAGTTCTCACACAATTTGGAATTCTATGATGGTCTGGCATCAGCCCTCCCCAGGAAGTGAGTGCTTTCCTTCCTGAGGTAATTTTGTGAGGTTTTCAGAGATTCCATGGAGTGTGTGGATCTTTTTCTAGCCAGTCACTCAAGACCCCTTCCTCAACCTTTATGTGTCTAATTGAGCCTCATACCTTACCCTGCTGTGGGGTTCTACTCATCAGTCAGCCTTCTAGGTTGGGATATAAAACAGCTTTCTCACTGGAGTGGCCCAAGTCTGGTTCTTGGAAAATACTCACACATTCCCTCTGCCCCTACCAACTGTGGCAGCACAGGCCCCTCCTACACAGCCCCTCTGGTTTCTCCCTCTACTGCACTGGCTAGGACCAGCACCACCAGCAGCTCTTTCCAAAATCCCTTCTCATATCCAGCCTTTTTTCAGTCTTCTAAACTTCTTCTTTAGGTCAGAGATAGGAAGTTAGCTGGGATCACAGAATCAGTCTTTGGAAACCTCCCTTGTAAGTATTCTTGACTATACCTGGGAAAGCAGCATCTATCATTCAGCCCAAACTGGGCCAATTTAGGCTCCATTTTCAAACCCTGCCATGCTAGACTACACGTGCAATGAACCACGGGTTTACTCATGGCTGCTGTTGTTCTAAAGCTGGAAAGCAGGAAAAAGCCGAAAAGCAGAAATGTCCTACGGGGTGCTGGGCAACCTGATCAGTTCAACACATCAGTGAGGATTCAGCCCTCCCTCAGGCCCAGAGAAGCTGCCCCGTTGCAGGCTGTATGAGATTTCGCTCCAGAATAGAAATAAAAACATTTATATACAACAGGTGGTTTGTCATGGCAACCAATATGGCATCTTTTGGCGCGTTTTCATACCTAGAAACTCAAAGGTGAGCAGAGGTGGCAGTGACTCCTTTGGTTTGGCCTGTGTGCCCATTGGTCTGGGGCTGACTACCCAGATGGTGAAGCCACTGCACCCAGAACTGAAAAACTCACTCTTTCAAGCAGAGACGAATTTAGTGCAAAGAGCTCTTTATATAGGTGTTCCAAGGACTGGGGTGAGGTGGAAGTTGCCAGAGAAGGAAAGGAGAGATGAGAGAAGCTATAAGGACTGAGTTATAAACCATGACCAGCACATATGGCAAATTATATTTGAAGACAGAGCCTGAAGGAGCCTCTTAGAGATAATTCAGGCTTCCCTTGGCAATCTCACTTGAGTTTTACAGATGAAGAAATAGTAATAATAATAATAATAACTACATTTTTTTAGTATAGACACTTAGTAAATACTACTTCATTTCTTACCTCATTTATTTTTCGAGACATTCCTAGGAGGTAATTACTACCACTACCTTCATTTTACAGAGGAAGAAACTGAAACTCCAAGAGGTAAGTTCACTTGCCCTAGATGCCCTGGCCAGGAAGGGAAGCAAAAGGAGGACAGCCTATGCATTAGGACCGCTGATTTGGTTTGATTTCCATGACACCATTATATGGCACAAGGGAAAAGCTCAATTAAAAATCCTCTCCCAGGGTGCCTGGGTGGCTCAGTGGGTTAAGCCGCTGCCTTCGGCTCAGGTCATGATCTCAGAGTCCTGGGATCGAGTTCCGCATCGGGCTCTCTGCTCAGCAGGGAGCCTGCTTCCCTCTCTCTCTCTCTGCCTGCCTCTCTGTCTACTTGTGATCTCTCTCTGTCAAATCAATAAATAAAATCTTTAAAAAAAAAAAAATCCTCTCCCAGTAACATTTGAAACATAGTACATACCTTTCTACTTCTCAAGTTCAGTCCAAAGCAGAGCCGCGGCTTTGAAAATACTTGTATTCAATTGAAATGCCAAGAGTAGAGCTTGAAGAAGCCATAAAAGAAAAAATGGGAGTATGGAAACACTGCCAGCTATATTCATGAGAACCCTGTGGTTCTGGGGAGTCAGTCTGTTTTTGGGCCTTCAGAGAGGTTAGCTGACTGGATGACAGATGTGACACCATGGGGAAAGAAGGATGACAATGCTGGTGGTGGGAGAAGAGAAGAGGCATAGAGACCAGGGAAGCTCAAGAAAGGAAACGGGCTAAAAGAGGAGAATAGTTGGTCAGAGAAGCTTAGAGGTACTGCATAAGAAGGTAGCCAAGGCTTCTCATAGGTGAGAGTAAACCTTCAGATAAGTGGGGAGAGTCCTGAAGGAAAACACCAGTCTCTAAGAGGAAAGAGCCCTGGACAAGGAAACAGCCTCTATGAGGAGAAGGTGAAGTACACCAGAAGATAGCCATGGGGTTGTGGTGGGCAGGGCATTGTGGGTGTGTGCAGAGGTCAGGGAGCCTGGAGTGAACATAGAACACAGCAGGCTGCAAGAAGCAAAGAAAGGAGAACAGACCTGCCTCTGCCCAGTGTTTGAAGGCAGAGTCTTGGTGGTGAAACCTTTCCTCCTCACCCCCAAATCTTCTAGAGTACAATCACCTGCATTCCCAGGGCCATCCTGGGCCCTCAGGGTTTTCACAGCTGATATCTCCATGTGCAGGCTCTCCCATCCCCACTGCCTCACCCAAATGCATCACTGACATTTCTCCCAGCTGTGCCCCCCCCCCACCATTCCAGCCTCTCCAGAGGAACACCCCCAACTCATGATCTGCAGGACTCCTTGGGCCCTTAGCGTGCCCTCCAAACGTACTGCTCTTTTCCCCTCTGGGATCCTTGAATCACTCCTTCTTTGTCTGGACATCCCTTTAGTAGTGCCCTGAACTCAAAGATGGTTGTTTAGCAGTTTGTCGGGGCACCTGGGTGGCTCAGTAGGTTAAGCCTCTGCCTTGGGCTCAGGTCATGATGTCAGGGTCCTGGGATTGAGCCCCACATCGGGCTCTCTGCTTGGCAGGGAACCTGCTTCCCCCTCTCTCTCTGCCTGCCTCTCTGCCTACTTGTGATCTCTTTCTCTGTGTGTCAAATAAATAAATAAAATCTTTAAAAACAATAGCAGTTTGACAACAATACCAAAATGGAAGTACACCGTTTGCTGGTAACAGCCAAAGGCCTGAAGTGAAACAATGGAATTGAAAATCTTATTCATCTTGTGCCCTCTTGTGGAAAAGGGGGCAAAGAACACTATGTTACCGCTTGGGAAGCTAGGGATTTACTTCTTTCCCTATCACATCCTTCTTCTTTAAATGTAGTTATTATAAGACAGTGTTAATAAATAAAAATATGTTTAAATATAAACGTACTATTCTATGTTTAATTTTAATGTAATATTGTTCTATATTTAAACATAACTACAGTATATCTAAATACAGTTATAATACAATATTAATGAATCATGATTATCAAATTATGATTTATGAGTTCAAAAATACTGTTCAGAGATGAACCAGGAAGTACTGTATAATTATATGTTCTTTCTGGTAACATCCTTGTATGTTTTTGCTCCTGAAAAATCATTACATGGCTTCATTTTTTTTTTATTTGCTTAGTTTTCTAGGTACTTAACAAAATTAAAGCCCCAACTCTATACTGAAGCTATAAGGTCCTTTAATTTTTTTTTTAAACAAATATGGAACCTCCAACAATACTACTATAAAAGTTGTTGGAGCTCTCTTCAGTGCTGCCGCTCCGATGAGATGAATTACTTATCCTCTCCTTGTTGCACTGCAATAATCATCCTGGGATTCCACGCTTGCTTGCCTTTTCAGTCTTTTGAGGAATAGAAGTTCGGAATTTTAATAAGTCAAATTCATAATTTTTCCCTTTGTGACTGTGCTTTTAGTGTCCTATTTTTGTTTTATGGCTTTAAGATTTATTTATTTGAGAGAGAGAGAGCGTGTGCGTGCGCGCACACACACACACACACACACACACACACACACACACACAAAGGGGCAGTGGGAGGGGGACAGAATCTCAAGCAGACTCCCCACTTAGCGAGAAGCCTGATGTGGGGCTGGATCTCACAACCCTGAGGTCATCACCTGAGCAAAAATCAAGAATCAGAAGCACAACCAACTGAGCCACTCGGGCTCCCATTTCTAAAATCACTCCTTATCCCAATACCTTGAAGACATTTTGCCATATTATATTCCAAAATCTTTATTGTTTTGCTTTCCACATTTAGGTCCACAACTGACTTGGAAATGATTTTTGTGTATGGTGTGAGGTAAGAATAAAATTTTATTTTACTTTTTCTATATATTTAATTGGGCCACATAATTTATTAAAAAGACCATCTTTCACCTACTGTTCTGCAGTGCTATTCATGTCAATCATCAAATAACTGTGTATGTGTGAATCTATTCCTGGAATCTTTAATCTCTTCTGCTGATATGTTTATTATCCTTACATTAATACTACACTGTTCTAGTTACTGCAGGCTTTTTTTAAAAGATTTTATTTATTTATTTGACAGAGATCACAAATAGGCAGAGAGGCAGGCAGAGAGAGAAGAGGAAGCAGGCTCCCCGCTGAGCAGAGAGCCTGATGTGGGGCTCGATCCCAGGACCCTGGGATCATGACCTAAGCTAAAGGCAGAGGCTTTAACCCACTGAGCCACCCAGGCACCCCTACTGCAGACTTTTTTTTTTTTTTTAATTTTTACTTATTTATTTGACACACAGAGAGAGATCACAAGTAGGCAGAGAGGCAGACAGAGGGGGAGGAGGAAGCAGGCTCCCTGTGGAGCAGAGAGCCTGATGTGGGCTTGATCCCAGGACCCTGGGATCATGACCTGAGCCTGAGCCAAAGGCAGAGGCTCAACCCACTGAGCCACCCAGGTGCCCCTTTACTGCAGACTTTTAATACATCTTGACAACCAATAGGGCAAACCCTTCCAACTCATCCTTCTCCTTTAAGTATGTCTTGGCTCTTCTCAACTCTGCATTTCTATATAAATGTTAGTATTAGGCTTTTTTATTTTCCAGAAAAAGTATTGAAATTTTTATTGGGATTGCAATACATCTACAGATAAATCTACAGATGATTTTAGAATAAATTTTCATTTCACAGTATCGGGTCTTCTAATCCTCCTAATCATTCCATTTATTTTGGTCCTCTTTAATTTTTCTCAATAATTTTTCACTGGTTCCTGAATAATCTTCTCTATAAATTTCATTTTATAGACTCTGTTGGATTTTTTAAAATTATGATGAAATATACATAACATAAAATTTGCCATCTTAACCATTCAGTGTATAGTTCAGTAGTGTTAAGCATATGCATGTTGTGCAACCAATCACCAGAATTCTTTCCACCTTGCAAAACTGTAACTGTACCCATTAAACAACAACTCCCTCCTCCCCCTCCCCTAGTCCCTAGCAACCTCCATTCTATTTTCTGTCTCTATGAATTTCACTGCTCTGTTGATTCCATTCATGTAAGTGGAATTATATAGCATTTGTCTTTTTGTGACCGGCCTATTTCACTTAGCATAATATCCTCGATATTCATTCATGTTGTAGCATGTGTCAGAATTTCCTTCCTTTCGGGGTGCCTGGGTGGCTCAGTGGGCTAAAGCCTCAGCCTTCGGCTCAGGTCATGGTCCCAGGGTCCTGGGATCGAGCCCCGCATCAGGCTCTCTGCTCAGCGGGGAGCCTGCTTCCTCCCTTCTCTCTCTCTGCCTGCCTCTCTGCCTACTTGTGATCTGTCTGTCAAATAAATAAATAAAATCTTAAAAAAAAAAAGAATTTCCTTCCTTTCTAAGGCTGAATAATATTACACTGCATGTATAATACCACATTTTGTTTATCCATTCATCTCTCAATGAACACTTGTTTGACTTCCATCTTCTGGCTATTGTAAATAATGCTGCTATGAACAAATAACTCTTCGAGACTGTTTTCAATTCTTCTCAATTTGTACCCAGAAGTAGAATTACTGGATCACATTTTTAATTTTTTGAGGAACTACAGTATGTCCTTTTAACTCTTCTTACATAATTATTTTTAAGTAATGGGAAAAGTCATATTAACAAACATTATAGAGTATATTTTTAAAAGAACTTTATGTTAATCCAAAGTAAAATATTTTATATAAATCACTGCTATATACAAAGCAAAAATTGATGAGTTTTTTTTTTTAATTCCCAAGTGGTTTTGAGACATTGACTTTTTTTTTTTTTTTGAAACATTGACTATTAATGTCACAAGTATTCGTTAGTTAAATTAGGTTGGGAAACACTGTATTACCTGAAAGTGAATTTGCAGCAAGAAGCAGATTAACCAGTGAGGCAAGTGAGTAAGGACAGCTATTTAATTAAGATATATTTATTGAGTGTGTATTCATATGTGTGTTTTTGATGGATAACAAGAAAAAAGAAAAAGAGATGTAGTCCTAAAAGAACTTAGGATCTGGTGGGTTGGGGCTGGTGGAAAGGCAGCATAACACATCAAATAATTGGAGGAAAATTATATTCAGAGTATAATTAGGTGCTAAAGGTGTGATGTAGTCAAGTTCTACAGGGGAGGAAATCACTATAGGATGAGGTCATTGGAAGAAACTTCATGGTAAAATAAGCTGGGCCTCAAATTTGAGCAAAGAAGAGACATTTAAGACTCAAAGAATCAGGGCACCTGGATAGCTCAGTGGGTTAAAGCCTCTGCCTTCAGCTCAGGTCATGGTCCTGGGGTCCTGGGATTGAGTCCCCCATTGAGCTCTCTGCTCGACAGGGAGCCTGCTTCCCCCCCTTTCTCTCTGCCTGCCTCTCTGCCTACTTGTGATCTCTGTCTGTCACATAAATAAATAAAATCTTAAAAAAAAAACATCTCAAAGAACCCCTTTAGCAAAAGCACAGCAATACAACTGAGGACAGCCCTGCGGCTGTTTGGCTACCTCCTTCTACACAGTTACCGACTTCTGTGCATCAATAAAACAACCCCAATTTTTCTTGTAACAAAACACAGCTATCTGTTAAAGGTAAAGTTCTCACCTTCTTCTCAAAATATGGAGATACACAGCCCAACAGTCACTGTATTCATCACTGGTAATCTCAACTACTCCTCAAATTCAGGTGGAGTCCCATTGAATATTGTTACCTAATGAGTACACTGTGAAGTTAACGTTTGACTCTAGGTACATGAAAGAGAAGAAACTGGTCAGCATATAAAATGAACACATATGTTTAACAGAAAATATACAATGCTAACGCTGTCCTGGTTTCTGCGATTTGCTGGGAGGCTGTCAGTGAGAACTACATCTCCCTTCTTCCACTCCCCAGTCCACATTTCCTTCATCTGGAGTGACCCAAGCAGTCACTCCTAGGCACCTCCAGCTAACTCCCTGGGTTTCACAGTGCTTCTTGTCTGCATTTATAGGAGCAACTTGATTTCACCTCACCTAGAGTGACTTTTTTTTTTTTTTTTTTTTTTTTGCAGTTGGTTCAATGGTATAAGAAGTCCAAAATGTCCAGAAGGCATTCTCACTTTCTCATTCAACTGCACCACTGTGTCTGCTAGTGGAAGCATTCCTCCCTTGGAGACTATGACTTTCATAACAGCATTGCTCAAGGTTTCTGGGGCAGGAAAAATAAATCTGCAAATGGGTATTGAGTTTAAGAGTGAGAAAAGCCACTCCCACTTCTAAACCTGGATGCCAGATCCATATGTTCTGGCTATGGGGGCAAGAACACCCCGTAACAGTCGCTGATTCGAAGCATGTACTGTATCCTGTGAGACAGAATCACACTGTTTGGGGGTATTGTCTCCCAACTGGCACCACAAGTGAGTCTTCAATAAGCCATTTCGTCTCTCAGGTAGGCCATCTGCTCCTAGGTGATGGAATATGTGGGTTAAGGCCGGTGGATTCCATAAGCATGAGCCCCATGCTGTATTTCCTTAGCTGTGAAATGGACGAGAAGCAGTGCCGTGCAGAATACCGGCGGATGGACAAAGGATTCCCTAAGTACACAGACGGTACAGCTGGCTGAAGTATTATGTTGAGGGAAGGCAACTCCACATCCAGAAAACATGTATATTCCAGGGAGGATGAATCTCAGCTCCTCTGCAAAGGAGGAGGCCCAGTGTAATCAGTCTGCCACCAGGTGGCTGCCGGTCCCCATGGGAGAGGTGCCATAAAGGGGCCTAGTGTCGGCCTCTTCTGCTGCCAGGTCCGCTACTCAGCAGTAATGTTACATCAACACTGAGTAGGGGAAGCCCATGTTTTTGAATCCCAGGCATAGTCTCCAACCCCAGCACTGCAGCCACTTTGTTGAAGGCTCACTGAGCAATCACTGGGGTGACTTGGGCAAGAGACTGATTTAGACCCACAGAATGTCCCCCTGATTATTAGCAGCCTCCTTCACAGTGCACAGCCGTGGCTCACTGCACAGCAGAGAAGTCTCCATGGTGCCGTGGTAATGGAACTGCTGGAAATCTTTTCTCCAGAGTGCAAGGGAAAGTCATTCACTGGGAGGTACCTCACTAGTGGCACTCTGCTATGAACCTGCCCAAGAGGGTGTGGAAAGAGTCAGGGAAAACGTTCTGCTGGGTCCTGGAGAGCTGCGTGCTGAGCTTGTCAAGCCAGCACACCAGAACCAGGATGGGAAGCCCCTTTCTCTTGTCCTGTCTTTCTGGAGCCTCCTACTGACAAATCTGAACATCACACTTGTTGGTAAAAGAAAAATATTTAATAGGCCCATTTCAAGTTTACAGACCAGGCAAGGGATGAATTTCAATAAACTGCTAGCTGGCAAAGGACTGTAATGGGTTGAATAGTGTCCTTCCAAAATTCATGTCCACTTGGAAACTCAGAATGTGACTTTATTTAGAAAATGTACATTTTTTTTGCAGATATAATGAGGTTTTTTAAAAAGATTTTATTTATTTATTTGACAGAGGGAGACAGTGAGAGAGGGAACACAGCAGGGGGAGTGGGAGCAGGAGAAGCAGGCTTTCTAGTGAGCAAGGAACCTGATGTGGGGCTCGATCCCAGGACCCTGAGATCACAACCTGAGCCGAAGGCAGGCACTTAACTGAGCCCCCCAGGCACCCCTGCAGATGTAATTAGTTAAGATGAGGTCACACTGGATGAGGGTGGGCCCTAAATCCAATGCTGGTATCCTTTTAAAGGGAGATGAGACATGGAGCCACACTTAAACACAGAGAGAAGGCGGCCACGTGATGACAGAGGCAAAGAATGCCAGCAACCATGACAAGTTGGAAGGATACA